TAATTTTCTTAGGTATTGACCCTAAAATTTCGAATCATAAACTTAAGCTACAAGACTAGTTATTTATTAGTAGTACCAACCCATATTTATTTTACATAGTTTTATTATGATATAACAATTTTAAAATAGTTCCATTCAAGTAGGACCGGAGAGTTCAGTGTGAAATTGACTTTTTAATCAGTAATTACCAGTTGCTGTCCAGTTTCTTCTCTAATTCCAGCAGCCGCAGATGCAAAATTAACTCCTCTCAGTATGTCCCGACCCCTTGCAGTTGAGTAGGGAAGAATATAATCATCAAAACCCAAAAGTTCAGCTGTAGAAAGAAAGGAGTGCTTAATTAAATGAGAAAACGCTTACGGAGAATGATATTCTAAAACAAGTGAAAACTACATCTGTTTTGATGTGATTTAAACAAATCTATTCAATCCCATGGCAAAACTACATGCACACGTGCATTTATCTCATTGTAATCAACATACAAAAGTTTTTCTTCGTGTGCTGGAGAACAAAGAACGGAACATTCAAAATCTTTTCAAAGAACGTCTACTTAAAGTAAAACAACATTCAGAGACAAGACAAATATTGATTGAGAAGCGAGAGGGCAAGAGAGAAGATGCTACCAATGATATCAACAGTAGTTTTGCCATTGCAGAACCTTCCAGTGGGACCGTTGGGGAAGTCAATCCCATATGGCAAGTAATCAGCTCTGGCCAGTGACCGGAGCTGGTTATTGTTCCCATTGTCCACAAGAGAATCCCCAAAGATGAAGTAGCAAGGAACCTGAGGCTCCCCTCTAGCACCAAAACTGAAATTCAAAACCAACAATATCAGACAAACTACTCCCAATTTCCCCATTTGTTCAAGTAAGAACTAAAATCCAGAGAGGAATGATCTAAAGGGAATGGGGAGAGGAATTGTGGTGGTGTGTGAGCAGTATAACGCAGGGTGAAGGGTATATATAGGACGAGAACAAAGAACACAGAACATAGAAGAGAGAAGATTCTGAGTGGTGAACAGCAGAGAGGTGACACGGTTTGGAGCCACTTACAGTTGAAGGAGTTGGTTAGGTGCCTTAAATTTTACGCGGACAAAATGTGAGAGAACTGAGCCCGGTCAGCACTGCAGTGCATCTCTCAGCTCTGAATTTTCTGTTGAATGGATCCAATACAAAAGCAGTTATGATATAATCCCTTTTTAAATTTGCTTTTCTTTCTAACCCCCCGCCCCCCCTCTTTTTTTTGTGAAACTCGAAAGAATTAATGGACTTCAAGCTAGTATTGTGTTGTGCATACCAAAATGACTGAAAATGCTAATTTTCCAAGTACTCTCTCAATAACCATATTCACAAAAATACGTACTACAAACATATATACATGCAAAAACAGATACATTTGAGTTTTATAGGGTTCAAGTACATTTTTCACCTACCAATTACAAATCTACCTTTCCAATGCAGTAAGAAAAAAGACCATTTTATTAGAAAAATAATAAAGCATTATCACCTGGACCATGGCTTTCCCAAAGACTCTAAATGCCTCGATTTTGGAAGTTTTATGGTATACTCATAGTATAAATGTCAGTAAGCAAAGATTGGCATGAGACCTAATAAAAGCATCGAATCATGCTTTAATTGCATGGATTTTATTTCTCGTTGTTGGGTTGATCATGAGCCAGATAATTTATCCATCCGAATGTTCATTTTCTCAGTTCTGATGCTCGTCTAGTCATCTCAATGTCGAAAATGCAAATTTCATTAATCCTTTAATTGGTCTCATGAGATGTCATAATGCCATTTATGCTATATTATGTCATGGTGGCATGATGCTGATGATTGGACTTTGAAGCAAAGATCACACAGCATAAATGGCAATATGAAAGACAATAAATTGGATTGCTGCCCTAATAAATATTCCACCTATACCATTGAATGGTAGTGGGACCTCACTTGCCTCCTTTCAATTATGAACTTTTTAAGGACAGCAATGAGGCTTCAAAATCTGTTTTTACAAAGAACAGAACAAAGGCAATTATCAAAAGGATTAACAATTACAAGAAGCATGGGCAGAATGGTCCTGTAATCATCTTCTATCCATTTTCCTTCTTGTACTTTCTTCAACTTAATTTAGTGTATTACAGGGAAATTGATGGAAAAAGTAGAAACAGGCTGCCCTTGAAAGGGAAAGCCTTAATTTGATCTAAGACAGATATGAAAGCTTTCCCTGATCAGAAATGCCATCAATCATCAAGATTCTGGACAAAAAGCAATGGATCAAATGGTCTAGATGAAAAGAAGAAAAGGGCACCAGCCAAATTATAAATGCTATTAGGTAGCTTAATTAAATGCAATAGATATGTCATACCAAGTAACATGGGTTTGGATGAGTGATCTTTCGGCGGTCAACCCTGAAGCGTCCACACTTCATCTTCCCAGCATGAATTATGGATGTTGAATTTCTAAGCCCTACTTTGGTGCATATGAGCTTTGCAATTGCTTGGTTGTACTCGATGTCTTGACTTTTTTGTCGGCCACAACGATATTGATTTTGATCCGTCGATTTTCAGGAAACAATAATTAGATAAGCAGCAATTTAAATGTTTGGGTGAAGCGTATGGTAAAGTTTGAAATCTTATTTCCTCAATGCTCAAAACCCTACCAAAATGCTGCTGAATTTAGTGCCAACAATAACTCTATGCCAGAAAGCTAATTTCAGGAGCCAGAATCCTTAAAGCATGAAAAAGAGTATCAGTTAACTTCCATAAAGTTATATTTAAAAATGAACAATAGAAAGAACAATGAAAAAAAAAAAATGGAAGTACAGAAGCTTGTACTGAATACTCCCCCTAATATTCAGTATTAACAACTTGCAAATTTCTAAATGGCACTTCTCTTGGATACAAAATTTCCCTAAAACTTCATCACAACATTGCTTAAAGCAGATTAGCATCACGACCCAAAATAAATTGAAGGTTACCATCTACTTTATTAACCCTTGCAAAATTCAATTTTGAGTTTCAAAAGTCTCCATCTTAGTTCAGTAGTATTAAAATTTGATTTGAGAGACTATTTCGTCTCAAAACTCTTAACCCAAAACAAGCACACAGGCACACGTTAGGTATCAATCCATGTGCGTAATCATAATGGTGTGTGATTCAGATGTTGAGGACTTTTTCTCAGATGTAGATTGTGGAAAATGGAATGGTTAAGAGGTTCACAAGATCTTCTCTGTAAAAGTGACTATGAACTTCGACATCCGTACACCATTTAGGCCAAACAAGATACTAATTTCTGAAAGTTAGTACCCAATATGCTCCTGCAAGCAAATCATTAAGTGGGATGCTGTGATCACCAAGGGAAATGATATGCATGAAATAGAAAGAAATTAATTAGGCACATGATTGAGCATGATTCAATGAAAATTTGGTAGGAGGGAGAGTGACATATTCTCCCGATTATGATTCAAACAAAATTAAGACAGAGCACAGCACATTGCCTTCCAGTTCAAAATACATATTTTCATTTCATTTCATCACCATACTACAACCATGGCGCTTTCATTGTGTATAGGTACCTCTTCACAATATTGGGAGAGGGTCAACGTAAAATGGGTTCATTCCTCCAACTCCAACCCATATAAGGCAATATGCTTGACTCAGTCTGCAGCTGTAAAGGTTAGAAAATTATTGGAAGTGTTAGAGGAGAAACATTCTTTCTATCATTAGCAACAATTAAAAAGATTCATTCTTTCTATCACCCACTTTTATAAAACTAAGAAATTTAGAAAGATTGCAGTCAGAATTTAATTAGAAGACAATTACCATCTGTTTCTGTATCATAAATCTCCTCTGTAATTGGAATTGGAACGGAACTGTTCAGACAAATCCTTGAGAATTTGAAGCAAACCTTTTAAGTCATTGGTTCCCAATTCAAGGCAGTCCCTTAACAGACCACCCTCCATCACCTCCCTCTGTATTGTTTCAACAATCTCCCTCAAGGGTCCCTGCCAATTCCACGCAAACCAAAATCCAATACTTAGTTCAAGGAACACTTTTGAAAATTTCTTTTCTTTGTGGGGGAGGGGAGGAAGTTCTGAATTTACTAGAGAAGGTTTAAGCAGAGTATACCGATTTTTGAAACACTGTGAGAAGTCTGCGGAACATCCGTTTCGATACGCCCAGTGCATTCCCGTAATTCTGTGCAACCCAAGCAGCCCTCTCCATATCCGAGTTAGCCCGAGTCAACTGGCTCAGAAAACCCCGCAACTCCTTCAAATCAGACACCACGCCGTAAATTTGCCCGTAATCCAAATCCCTCCACGCGTAATTCCTCACATAGTCCCATCCCACCGACCATGCCATGCCCCAAAACCCTAACCCGAGTCCTCGCTCCAGCTTCCCAGCGAGAAGCATCGCCCGCTTCGATCCCGCCATGTCGCCGCGAGACTTACGTTGGTTGGCGACCCGTGTTAAGAGGGAGTGCGAGAGGGAGAGGACGGTTTTGTATTGCGAGTAGGTGAGGGACTCCACAGGTGGTGGTATTGCTGAAGCGAGAAGGACGAGGAGTATAAATGCAGATCGTGAGGAGACCATGGTCACTTAATCCGAGTATCTCCGATGGCGTTAAATCGGACGGTTGACAGACAAGGCCGTCGTCCGCTGTCGTCCGGAGGAGATAAGTTGAGTCGGTGTCAGGGCCGGCCGTTAAGAGCAGTTGAAGAAGAAACGAAGAAGGAGTAAGCATTGGGTACGAATATTCCGTTATACTTTACTTCCTTGTAAGGATAAGAATCTTACGCGAAACGGAGTTGAAGAAGAAACGGATATTTCGTTTTATATAT